CCAAGTTTCACCGCGGCAAAAAAAAAAAAAAAAAAAAGCAAAGATTAGGTGGGATCAGAGCACAGCGCTTACTCAGCATGTGCAGGGCCCTGGTTTGATCTCCAACACTGAAAAAAAAAAGATTATGATTATTAAAGATTAATAAAGACTAAAGCTGACTTCTCAGTGCAACAGATCTGGTACCCATCACTTAAAAACTGACACAAAAAAGTAATAGGTCTGGTGACCTATCTCAGTGCTAGAGTGCTTCTGTAGTTTGCCTGCTTGTATTAAACTGCTGGGTTACCACAGCAGTTCTCCCAGTTCCCCTGTGAGGAGGGAACTTTCTGCCCCCTGCACAGAGTACAGTGCCTGGTGTGTATTTGATACTAATTAAAATTTAGATAGGGCCGAGCATTTAGCTCAGTGGTTCAGCCGCCTGCCTCGCAAGTGCAAGGTCCCGAATTCAATCCCCAGTACCAAAAAAAAAAACCCAGATCAAACACAGGAACTGAAAAGAGAAGAAAAATCTGTTGCACAAAGGACAAATCGCCATGTAGATGGCTCACACCGTTGTTGTGAAAGCAGTTCTTTTAGAATTACTCCAGACCTGGGTTTTTTGAGTGTGGTGGCATTTCCTGCGTGTGGAGTCAGAACATTTGATTTCATTTCCAGGGGCTCTGGCTGCCTTTGCAGTGGGCCACGTGAAAGTGGACTGGGACCTTCTGGGAGAGCTGGCCCTGGCGATCTTTTCTGTCATCAGTGCTGGCTCCCTGTTTCTCATGCATTACACACTCAGCATCTGGGTGAGCTACGCCGGCTATCTGATGTTCAAGGCCAGCTACATGCTCCTTATAACTGTAGCCGTGTAAGTACTGCCAGCCATGTCTTGCTGCTCTTCTCTGCAACTTCAGGAGTCTAATCAATTGCAATATTAAATGTCAACTACTTCATGCTAAATTAAACACAACCAAGCTGTCTTTTCATTTAACTGCTTTCTGAATATTGCTAAAATTAGTCATCAAGGTAAAACAGCTTTGATCCATTATAACCCAAAAGCAAAAGTCTGGTTTGATTTTTTTTCTAAATTTCCAACAGCTTTCCATGATAAACCAGAAGCAATAATATATTGAAAGGTTTTGATTTTTAAATTTCCAACAATGTTCCATAGCAAAGTGTGAGGTTATTTAATGTTTAATGCTTTGCTTTAGATATCATCCTTAATTTCATTTAACTGCTTGAGTAATTCACAGCGTGTACTATTCTGTGAACAAAATATTAAGAAACTCATAAAGAATTGGCTGCTGAAAAAAATCAGATGTAAAGAGTATAAGAACCCTTTAGCTACGCTGATACCTGTAGCCAATTGGTTATCAATCATTCTTTTAAAGAACATCTTTGCGATTTAGGATTTAGTCTAATTTCTGCATCTACCTTTTAAGAAAATTTGGTTTACATAGAAGCAGTTAAAGTTGAGTATAGGAAATATGTTTTGATATTAACAAGAGATGAGAAACACTTGAATTTCAAGTTGTGTGTAAGAAGTACACATGAGCCTTATCAAGTTTTGTCTGTCTTTAATTTGTAAAAAAGGAATGTCAAACAAATGACAAAGCCCAGAAATATGAGCACCAGGAAAAAGGCCATTAGACAAAAGAAAAAGATTAAAATAGTTGGCACTTTAGTTTTTTTCACTGAAATGTGTCTGTTTAGTGAATCAAGTCCATGTGTCTTTAGTGTCTTCTTTTAAAAGGAGGATTGAAAGTTAATTTTGCATTGTCTTTGAATTGAAAAAGTATTTAGAACTCAAAAGCCTTTTATCTGCATTCCAAGATTGTGGTAAGATTTCAAACTCTAAGATATTAAAAAGTAATTAGATTCATTCAATTTTACAACCACTGATAGCCTGGATCTTTCAAAGAATAATTCACCTGCTAAACTTTGTTGATGGAAGTAATTGACAGTAAACTGAATAATGATTAGAAAAACGTTCCTCTGATCTAGTAACAATATCTAAAATCAAGTCATATGCAGTATTATGAGCAATTGACAATAACCCAAATAACACTAAAAAACTTCCATAGGCTGACTATATCTAAAATCAAATTAACACCATCTCAAGTTATGAGAATTTAGAACACTTATGCTTAAATTCTGGAAAGCATTACATTTTATGAGTAATTTTGTCATTTTACCTTTAATGTAACCTTTAACAATATTTAGTTCCTTTCTTTGTTTTGCCTTTGTGTTTACAGTGGAGAAAATTTAAACAAGGACCACTAACAACACTATTTTCTCTTTAGCATCTACCTTTAAAGATAAAAATCTTGTGTATGCTACGGTTAAAAAGTTTACTGTACACTTCCTGGTAGATTTCAGATTGCAGTTAATCTGAGTGTGGAGCGCTATGCCCTGGTGTTTGGCATAAACACCTTTATTGCCTTGGTGATTCAGACCATCATGACTATGATCGTAGTAGACCCCAGAGGGCTCAGCTTGGCAATCAGCATTCAGGTAAGCTTTGTTTAGTTGCTGGGAGGGTAGCATAACTAGATTGTCTCCGAGATCTCTCTGCCTTTCAATGAGAAATACTTAATTTTCTTGAGTTCCTTAGTTAAGCAAATTTTAAAACATGCAGTTCCTTAATTCTGTGAAAATGCCAAGCAGGTTTTGAGCAATAACTGCAATGAATTCCACACTTACCTGATGAAGGCAGGTAAGAAGTAACCTCGGTGCCTAAGATTCAGCCTTCAAGATGCTGCATAGAGCATTGTACCAGGCTCACACATCGACAGAGGAGTGGGATTTAGTGTCTGTCTCATTATTGACGATAAGAGCTAGGATTTGAACCTAAGCAATCCGCTCCAAAGCCACAGACTCTTAGCCACAGCATTGCTTACATTTCACACTTGATTCCTGTAAGACAGTGGAGAGTATTGTTAAATAACCCATCGTTAAGATGCTGAGTCTCAGTTACCCTATAATCCAAGGATACTAACTGCATGATTACATATCATCAGGGAATTGGTGGTCAGATTTTGTATGTGGCTAATGATTTGCTTTTCTCCAGTTTTTAGTTTACGGAAGTTATTTTGCTGTCATTGCTGGAATGTTCCTAATGAGAAGCATATACATTCTCTACTCGCTCAAATGCCAAAAGAAAGTTCAGAGACTCCCTATGATTCAGAGTCCAGCTAAGTTACACACAGAGGAGCCAGTTAATACCACCCTGTCAACAAAGCTCTAACCTTATCACATCAACACAGTGTTTTCCAAAATCACTGACTGAAATTGCAGGATTTTGCAACTAATACATTGATGTGTTCTGCAAGCTGGATTCCACTGAACCTTCCTGAAAGAACAACAGACCTCACCTTTAGACCAGAAGTCTGTGTGCCCAGCTGAATTGCATGCTGTTGGCAGAGCCCATCACAGTTAAAGCACCCACATGCTTGGAAAACTCTAGTTCCAATCATTTCTAAGAACATTCAAATGGCACAGAAACAAACCAGGAGAAGACACAGCCACCCTGGTGGACAGTTGCCCACTAATAATGGAAATCCTAACTGGACTGACCTCTCTTTGGCCTAGATGCTTCTGTGACTGCGGGAGGCAGGAGAAGGGACATCTACGCCATTTTTCTTCCCTTCCAGCAAGTATGTTTCTGTGTTAACTAACAATTCTCTGAGAGAATCACAAACTTTGATCCCATTTCTAAGGGCTCTTTCTCAGCCTTGCAAGCATGGTACTATTCACCAGCTATGGTTTGATACTATCACTATTTTTATCTTTTGATGATTATTTTTCATTCCGGGCCCTTCTGAGCTCAGTGTTGAAACTACTGCAGGAGTAGCTGCAAGCGTTAGGGTGTGTCACAGATAACAATGACCTAGAAGGGGCCTTGTTAACCAGGTAGGTATGTTACCGCTCTCTCAGTGTGGTATCTAAAGCAGAGAACTACGAGAAACTCCCAGAGGTTTCTAGCAGTATTTATAAACGAGGAAACCCTTGGAGGAATTAATCACCTAATTTTTGTTCATTTTTTTTTTTTTTACTTTTTTTTTTGGTGCTAGAGATTAAACTCAAGGCCTCATGCACACTACCATTAAACTGCATCCCTAGTTTCCTAAGCCCTAATTTTCCTTCCAGTGCTGAGGATCAAGCCTAGGATCTCAGCAGATAAGTACTCTACTACTGAGCTGCATCCTCAGCCCAACATGTAATTTTTGAATGACAGAGATTGTGCCAAGTAAAATATGTCTAAAATTTTTACTACAGAGTCCAATGTGTAATGGAACTCTGCTGAAAATTTACCTGAGTATAACTGTTATATGCAACTTCAATAGAAGATGCAGTGGGAGTGCTTTGCCAGTAGGAATCGGGAATATTGAATCAAGACTTATATTTAAGTACACTTTACTTCAAATCCGAAAATGCATTCACTGAAATTAAAGATGAAATCCAGACTAAAATCAATGCGTCATCTTCCCTTCTCCATGGTGTTCCTTTCTGTAATTTTAGCTACCTGTGGTTGACCACTGTACCAAAATATTAAGTGGAAAATTTCCAGAAATAAACAATCCATAAGTTAAACTGCAAACTGCTCTAAGTTACACAAATGAAATTTCACTTCCTGGTGCCAGGGGAGTAATGATTCCTTTGTCCGGTGTCCATGCTGCTAATCAGAAGTCACTTACTAGTTGTCTCAGCTGTCAGATTGACTGTGGCAGTATCTCAGGGTCTGTGTTCAAGTGACTCTTACTTTTGTTAATAATGATTCCCAAGCTGGGCATGGTGGCTCACGCCTGTAATCCCAGCACTCTGGAGGCTGAGACAGAAGGATCACTGTGAGTTCGAGGCCAGCCTGGGCTACATAGTTCCAGGGCAGTCGAAACTACATAGTGAGACCCTGTCTCAAAAAATAAAAAATAAAAAATGACTCCCAGGCACAAGAGTTATGATGGTGGAAATCTATCTGAATGTGCCAAGAGAAGCTTGTTATCATACATATGTATAGAAAAAACAGTTTGTGCAGAATTCAATACTATTCATGGTTCAAGGTGTCCACTGGGAGTCATGGAATGTATGCCCTATGGATAAAGGAAAGACCAGTGCATACTCAAAGGAGAAAACTAGTAATATTCCCTCTTAGATCACAAACAAAAAGAGAATAGCCACTATTATCTTTCTTAATTCACTGTACTGGAGGTGCTCACCAACACAGTTAGACAAGCAACAACAACGAAAGTTAGAAGTCAAAAATTGAAAAGCAAGTGCCAAAATTATTATCCCAGAGGCCACAAGTATACACACGCATTGTAACCAAAAACTAAGATATTATGAAAAGTGAGTATGTAGAAGCCAACAGCTTTCATAATATAAGGTTTAGAAAGTCTAAGAATATTCCTTTTATCATGGAACTGTTATTGCAATCTCCTGGCCACACCAAAATGTTATCGGTAGCTCCTTCTGAGAGTGGCTCGCCAGTTAAACGTCACCAGATTCTGGGTTGCTCACCTCTCCCTTTGGAGTCACATCCCAGTTTCTTCTCATCTCAAGCAAAGAATTTAACAAAATAAGCCAAAAGCAGTGGCCAAATTTATTTGACAGAGTAAAAGTGAAGAGTGAGGGAGAAACTGGCTCTGCAGAGCAAGACTGGGAAGAGTAAAACAGGAAAAAGCAAAATAAAAGAAAGCCCCAGAGAAAGCAGGGTGGGGTATCATGAGAAAAGCCATGCTAGCAAGCTCTTGCTGGCATCTGTGTCTTTTTATACTGTCCAAATCTCAAGGAAACTCAGAAGAACCTCTACATCCAGGCCTTCGGAGGCAGTGGTGGGGGACCACTCCTTGCACTGACCTCAGGTATAGCCCATCCTATTGAAAACCTGCTGTCATTCTCTTGAGAGGCAGGTCCACAGGCAAGGCTTTGGGACCTGTTCTGCACATGTGTCTGGGATCTTGTAATTAGCAGATCATGCCCTTTTCCCCAGCCAGTTTGCCATGCCCTAATCTTCTATGTCAGAACAAAGTGATAAAATACCCAAGATTATACTTACTATAATAATTTATTAAATGTGTAAGACAAACATGAATAAGCCTGAAATTTTGAAGATTATAAATGGATACCTAAATGTATAGAAAAAATTATCTTGTTCTTGGTTAGGAGAAAAAGTGAAGACATCAAGCTCTCCTAAATAAATGTATTAATTAAATCCTATCCATGAGACTCTCTGGTTCTGTTTTGTTTTGTTTTTTTCAGAGCTAGTAAAGATGGTTCTAAATTTCATTTGGAAAATTAAAAATGAAATACAAAAGAAGTGCTTTTTACAATGGAAAAATAAGGCTGAATCATTTGCAAAGATTGACTACTTTAAACTTAGTTACATTAACATAGGACTAAAGAGACAGTTCAATGGAAGAGTGGAAAGTTCTGAATTCAATTCCTTTTTCTTAGTTTATTGGTACATTTTAGGGATACAGTACAGTTGCATTCATCATTGGAATCTTGCACCTTTACATAACAAGTCTTGGTTCTCATTTTTCCCCTTGTCCCTGCCCTCCCTTCACCCCCTCCTCCCCTCCCTATTTACAAATATTTTATTTCCCTTTTTCATTTTCTCATTTTTTTCCTTTCTCCTTTTCACCTTTTCCCTACCCTTCCCATTTCCCTTACACCTTTAGCCCTTTTCTTCCTATTTCACTGTCAATTAACCTTAAGCCTACTGATGTCTTTTCCTTCCTAGCAAAATTCATAAACTACTTAAGCCTACTGACTTGTTTTCCTTCCTAGCAAAATTCATAAACTCTGTCTTCCATTTAATTCTGACCTAGCAGACTGTCATAGATGCAGCATGAAAAGGTGATTTGTGAGTATTTCTTAATATTCCTTCCATTCCAGCTGAGGGTAAACATTGTCAACCCATCAACAGTCTCAACATAACCAGTAGTTTTTTTCATTAAGAACAAGGAGCCAAGAAGAGGCATCAATCAAGTCAGTTTTATCCAGCCTTATCCCATAATCATGATCTAAACTAGAATAGAGTTTGGGAACATAACCCCAGGTTGATAAAATGTAATCATTTGGGTTTCAGGTAAAGACATTCCAATGGCCAATCTGTTTAGCTGCTTTTTAGCTTTGTTTTCTTCATAGATCACTACAGAAATTTACTGAGCTTCTCCTGGGATGTTCCTACAGTAATCACCTCTTCACAGAGTCATATTTTTGTCTGACAGAATCATCAAAACAATTTTTTAGCTCATATCAGAGTCAGAAATGTGACATCACAGAAGAAAACATTTTACATTTATGTTGTCAGACTTCTGTTATTCTTGATAATAAAAATTAACATTGTTTTAGTTATCTTAACTAAGAGTAGACGAGCTTGGTTTAGTCTCACTTGTTTGCCTTTTGGGTACACACATACACAACACAAAACAAGACAATAGTGAATAGTTGGGATTTGAAGTGCTAAAAATACTTTATATATATCTCAGATTGTGGAGTCTGACCTTGGTCTTTCAGATGGTACTATTGCCCTTGACTTAAAATTAAAACCTCATAAGGTAAAGGAATTCTTTAATAAAGATCATTGTGATGCCAGCTATTGTGGCACATGCCTGTAATTCCAGCACTCTGGGAGGCTGAGGCAGGAGGATTGCCAAATTCAGGCCCAGCCTAGGCAACTTAGTGAGTTAGAAAGACCTTGTCCAAAAAAAAAAAAAAAAAAAAAAAAAGAGTATTGTCCCCAAAAGGACCATGTATTGTTCTTTGAAACCATTTCACGTGTTTTGTTAATACCAGAAGGTACATAAGCTGCCTCCAGTATTTGTCCCAATAAACCTACAGGCCACTGAAATACAAATGAGAGAAGATGCAGGGCTACAATGTTCCACTTACTTTGGGATGATAATTTTGTGAAAATAATTGCCCAGCAAGAATGTACTTCTTTCTCCGGTACACTCTCTGTTTCTCTAATCTAAATGACCTATCAAGTGTCCTGTTACAACCACAATTTAAAAATGTCCTGGTCCACTTGATTTGTCGGCCTCTGATGGTAAGGTTCTCCAGTTAAAGCCAAGAAGGAGGATGTGTGGGAAACACCACTGATTAGAAGCCGAAGTGTGGCAACTTGTCTACACTGAAGGCAAGATGGAGGAGAGATCAGGCTGCTACGCAAACAGAAACTGAGGTAACTTCACCTCAGACAACTCTGGAGGGAGAAAGATGAAGTCAGAAGCTCTGCCCAAGTTCCATCCACGAGATCTGCTGGGATGGAGACCCAGCTGGCGGGCAGTGAAGGGCGGGCTACCCATCGCCAGTGACTCCTGCTCTTCCATGCGATGACTTCGCTTCT